TTTTTTTCTTTTTTCTTTTAAATTTATTTATTTCTAAAGAATGGAAAGACAATTGACCATATTGCAAATATGGACTGCAGTGAGTCCTGGACCCTTTGTGCACGACAGGAGAGGAAGCTGAACACCTTCCATATGCATTTTTGGTATCACCTGGCAGGACAAAGTTCCAGAGAGAGTAGTCCTAGAATGAGCTGGAATTTTTTAGCATGTATACATTACTGAAACAGCGACGTCTACGTTGGCTTGGGCATGTCATGAGAATGGCTGATGGTCGGATTCCAAAAGATCTCCTGTAGGGAGAATTAGTGCAGGGAAATCGCCCCAGAAGGAGATCACAGCTGCAATACAATGATATCTGCAAGTGAGATCTGAAGACCATAGGAATGGACCTCCACAGATGGGAAACCCTGACATCTGAGCATTCAGCCTGGAGGCAGGCAGTGCATCATGTCCTCTCCCAATTTGAAGAGACCCTTGTCCAGCAGGCTGAGGCAAAGAGGCAGTCACAAAGCAGCAAAATCAGGGAGCTGGACAGGGGACAGATTGCATTTGTCTTCAGTATGGAAAGGGTTGTCACTCTCGAATTGGCGTTCTCAGCCACACTAGATGCTGTTCGAAGCACGTTACAGAGCACGTTACCATAGTCTTTCGAGACTGAAGGATGCCTAAGTCATTCCTTGCAGCAATTTGAATTTTTGGTTAAATACCTCTGGCTACACAGAAGAAGTGAAGGGATCCAAAGATCAGAATAGCTTCAAGTTCCTCGGATTAGTTTACCCCTTTTTCTCATTAAGCTGCCACTTAAAGTCTTGATAACTCACTCTGAGACATTAGTTCGGAAAAGAATAAAAACGTTTTGTTTACTTACTTAATAAAATATTAAATAATAATATTCCTAAAATGATAAAAAGGATATATATATAGAGAGAGAGATATTGAACCTGAGACTGCAATCCTATACTAATTTACCTGGAAGTAAGCCCTCACTGAGGGAATTACTTCTGAGTAAGCATATATAGGACTGTAATCAACTGCAGTATATCACAG